AAAAAAAAAAAAAAAAAAAAAAAAAAAAAAAAAAAAAAAAAAAAAGAAAAAGTTACAAAAAAAGAGCAAACACTACATCAGGGAGAGGACAGCCTAATTAGATCACTCCATACTCACTGACAATCCACGATTGACAGGCACAGCTCGGGAAATGCCACTTGAGGGAGACTGTTAAAGCTGTTTCAAGAAAATATTCTTCCTGGTACAATACTGACCTCTAGTGGGTGTCTTTGAATTCATTTAAATAAACATCATATAACCTACCAAAACCTTCGATGTTTCCTACAGAATTCTGATTCATCAGAAAGGAATTACATAGGGTTATACAAAAGTGACCTAAATAACTCAGAAAGTGGCCAAGTATGAGTGTGCGTGGGGGAGTCTCGTCATCTTCCTGTCATCAAGGAGACAAAAATGCAATGTATACTTGGACAGCACAGGATTTCATCACTGTTTAATAGGCTAAGGCAAAGTCAGTGTCTGGGAAAAATCAGACTAAGAAAAGGATTTGTTTTATAAATCTCATCTTAATGGAAAACAAAAATTTCAATATAAACACAAGAAAAAAATATTTGATTACAACAATCATAAAGATACCACATATCCTTGGGAACTAATTTTTAAAATGTGCTATAAAGATATTACTTTCTAAGACTTCACAAGGCAGATACTAGGTTCATTTTTAAAAAAATCCCAGGGCTGGAGATTTAGCTCAGTGGTTCCGGCACCTGCTTTGTAAGTGCAAGGCCCCGAGTTCAAACCCCAATACCAAAAAATAAAAAGAAATAAAAGAAATCCCAGACAGAGATTAAGCATACTTTAAGACAGCAACACAGAGAAGACAGGAAAATACCTTTCTCGGAACTGCTCGTATGTCAAGGCACCAGGTAAACATGAACTGGAGAGAACACTTCTCAGGTATGTGCTGGGGTGGGGCAGCTCCTTCCCAGGCAAACACAAGAAAGAGGTTCAGGGCACATGAACAGCGAAGAGCTCACACAAACCACACCTGGAGAACGTGCTCTGCATGTTACAGTGCTTACTAAAGTGCAACGAGTGGTTGCAATACTTAAATAGCGCAAAAATTCCCAGATATGACACAGCACAAAAACCCCATGTGAATGAGATGAAAGATTTATAAATTTAAGATATGCCAAATAAAAGAACAAAATTATCTAAAAAAAGCAGTGCTTCATTAGAACACACACTATTCCAGAAAAAGTATTTCATGACAGAGCTCAAGTTCAAGATTGTGAAAATAATGAATAGATGTTTGAATATTTTAAAAATAAATAACTGATTTTAATTACGGGGAAAACAATTATTTTTGTATAATAAAGACGTTAATAGCTGGCGAGATGTAAGGATATCATTTTCTAAATGGTCCTTGGCCACAAGTTCTCAAGGGCTGTTTGTGTTCGCGGTTCACATCCACCGCTGTCTGACAGCACAGAATACGCCCGCGTCCTACTCAGCGCCGTTCCCTGGCTATGCTGTGGCTCCTCAGACCCCAGGAGTGACTGAGCCAGGCAGCCACAAGGCACCCTCGGAAGTCCAGGCCTGGAACTGGGCCCCCACCTGCGTACCTCTCTTCCGGGTGTCGGCTTTGACCTGCAGGAGGACGCGGTGGTTCCGCCCTCCAGCCAGCTGCAGCCTGTGGAGCAGGCCCTGCACCTCGGCGTCACTGTTGGGACACAGCACGCTGAAGGCATCACCAGGCTGATAAGAGAAATCTGTTTTCTGCAATGGGACCAAAATGAAGGAATGTTGTGCGTTTGAGTTGTAAGAACAAAAATGCAATTTTCATTAAATGACCATTTTAACACATGAACTGAAGAAAAGAGTTCTATAAAAAGAATTCAATGTGTTATGTACGTGTACTAACTCTCCACAATGAACACAACCAATACGTATGACAACCAGGTGCGAATATGAGAAATAAAATGAAAAGGAATTCTAACTGCAAAATAATAAGCTAATGAGTCAGCCCAGTTAATAAAGTTTGCAGTGAACCCTTGAGTTGTGACCGGCCTGACATACGAACGATTTGGGGTATGACCAGATTTTAGCTTTAACTTACAACCGGAGTCTTGAGTTATGACCCAAATGCTGCCCAGCTGTGCTTCCAGATGGTCTCACATACAAATTTAAACCTTAAAAAGCTCTGAAAGGAACCCTGCAACATCCTCTCCTGTGTGGGTTTAACTGAGGCATCCTAGTGTCTCTCTAAAGATGCTGGGATCTGCCTGTATATAGGAGAGAGGCTTGGAAGGCTGTGCAGAGGAGTCTGAGCCTTCAACTGACAACTTGAGTAACAACCAGCCTCAAGAATGAATTGAGTTCGTAAGTCAAGGGTCCACCATGTTAGTTGATGCCTTAAAAAAAGAAACCTCGTAATTATTCAGGGTACTGTCCTGCCTTCCATTACTGCATTTATTGAATGCAAGTAAGACCCTTCTCTCTTTCTGCAGAGTAAGTTACAGTAGTGTTTTAAGTGATCTATGTAAAAATCCTTACAAAACATACACACAAACACACACAAGTGCATACTATGATCTAAGAAGCTACCGAAGGCGATCTGTGTGAGTTTTTAACTTCCTTTTCCTTACTTTGTTCCTTTCCTTTAGGGAGGAAGAGAGAATCAATCACAGGGAAGGAGAACCAATCACATTCCTCTTCTAGGAGGGAAACAGGCTCCAGCCATTACCTGGCCAGCCGTGTGAGGTGAGGAGGCAACAATGGGTCAAGAATAAAAGCGCCACATGTCCCATCGAATGACTCTTCTTCTCTCAAGACATGAAACCAAGCACCACACAGGCTGCCTGGGTGCCCTGACGTCAGAACAGCACTGAGAAACAAATGTGGTCACTTACGGAAAGGTCCAGCTCTAGCAGCAGAGTGGTTTTTACAGCATCACTGGTAGTTAGTTGAACTGCCTTTGAAATTGGAACTTGAAAGACTGGCTGCTCCACTGAAGTCACAAATGCTTGACTTTCTTCCTCCTTGAGAAACAAATGTGATAAAATGCAACTGCAATCGTACCATTCCTTTGCTCAGTGACCATGCAAGACGTGCACGAGCTCATAAAATTTCCCGGTGAATGGCAGATATGTACAGATCTCACTGTTCAGAAAAGCAGCTCTTGTACATTTAAAACTCTGTGTCTATTACACACTAGAATTACTTGCACCTGCTCTGTGACCGTAGCCCATCACATCAGGCCAAGTGCTGTGAGTAACACTTCGGGTCCTAAAATGTCCCCCGAATGCAACAGCGGACAGAGGTGGAGCCTTTAGGAGGGGACTGGATCTCAAGGGCTTTGACCTCATGAACATCGGGTAAGTCACTGATTCATCGGCTGAGGTGCTGCCGGGAGGGGTGGGTGGTGGAATCTGCAGGCAGAGGGGCATGTTGGGAGTGGAGGTCAAGGGGTGGCCTCTGCAGGGCTTGACTGTTTTGTTCCTGGCCCCATCCTCACTCTCTGCTTCCTGGCTGCTGTGACGTGAGCCGCTCTGCCTCACAACTCCTGCCACGCTGTGCCACCTCTTCACACATTCAGGAGCCTCAAAGCCAAGGGACCACGCACTGAAACCTCGGAAACTATGAGCCACAGTAAATCATTCTTACCGGAAGCAGATTTTCTCAGGAATTGTGATAGTGACAGAAAGCAGGCTACATAGCTTTGTCACTTTCTAACTGTGGTAGCTTGCCAACCCTCCAAAACTTTTAAATTTCAGAGCATTTCTGATTTTCAGATTAGAGATGTCCCTGCCATCCATAACACAAGCCACTCTAACACAATGCATGAACTTCCTTCTTTGGAAAGGGCCAAGCAGGAAATGCTTTTGGCTTCACAGCACTCTGGGTTAATCACTCAGCTTTGCATCTAGAGCTCAAAAGTACCCACAGATACTGTGCAGAAAAATAGGCATGGCTGTGTGTTAATTACATTATTTCTAACTGAGAGACAATGGGTCACATTTGGCTAGCGCCACTTGCTGACCTCTGTTCAAATGGAAAACAAAACAAAGCAAACAGCCGTGGTTAAATAACATGACACAGCGCACAGTGAAACAGCTCACCTGGCCAAGGGGCTCCTGCAGATGCACCTGTAAATATGCTGGGGGCAAAGCAGGAATAGTCAGAGAGGCCTGCGCGAGTGGGGGTCCCGAGCAGATCAGCGAGGGTTCAAAGTCTCCAGTTAAAGTACTTGATTGACCTCTATTTGCTTCATTTTGTTCCAAAGCTTCAGAATCCTTTCTTCTTGAATCATCCAATCTCAGAAGTTCCACTTGAGATTCAATAGGCAATGACTCTGGCTTCGCAGCCTCTGTGCTCAAGGAGGCATTTGGCGCCCTTGGGAGACTCCCGTTCGTCTCCCCTTGCCCTTCTCTTGACCTGAAGTGCTTTTCCAGAGCCGCCCAGAGTCCGGCGATCCATGGCTCAACCACAAGTTCCAAACTGCGGTGCGATAAAAAAAGAAAAACAGAAACAAATGCCTAAGTCTTCCATTTAAACACAAATGTCAGAGAAGACTCATTTAGCAGAATGCTACATTCAACTGCCAGAAACACCGCAAATTTAAGAAGTATGACTGAGGAATCTCCACATGGACTTTAGAGTGGTTGCGAGAGTTTATGGTCCATCAGCAAGGGAGACAGGTTCCTTTCTTCCCACAGCGACATCAGCATTTATTACTTGATTTTTTGACGTTGGCCATTTTTCCCGGAGAAAGACGGAATCTCAGTATAGTTTTAATTTGCATTTCTCCTGTGGCCAGTGACACTGAACATTTTTTCATGCATTTATTTTTCATGCATTTATTGGCTACTTGTACTGCTGCTTCTTGTGTCTATTCGTTTCAGTTGGTCATATTTTGATTGGGTCTTCTAATTTGGGGATCTAGTTTCTGTTTAGGTTTTAGAGAAGGGAAAAGGGATGAAAAAAGAATTGAGATGTGCTCTGTACACGCACCACCTTCCCGTGAGGATGTAATTAGTATGTACTGCAGACATACACTAAAAAAATACAAACTGAAAAGGATGAATTACAAAGATGCAAAGAGTAGAATATTATCAAGTGTCCATTAGCACCACAGGTCTAAATACGAGCATGTATAAGGTCAAAGAATGAAGTGAAATATATATATTTTAGTAGTAAGGTAATAGGAATGCAATTTCTCTTAAATCATTTTAGAAGCTATAATTTTACTTTTTGTTGTTGTTGTTGTTACCAGATATCGAACTTGGGACCTTGTGCTTGAGAGGCAGGCAGCAACACTGAGCTAAATCCCTGGTCCAAGAAGCTATAATTTTAAAGAGGCTAAATTCTGATGCAGCTAACAGAACTTAGCTAAAACCCAAGGCTGCCCTGATGGTGCAAATGACTATTACATCAGTCGAATACTCCGTCTTCTTTGCTTAATGTACTGATCTTTCTCCTAAAGATGAAAATATCATCAAGAAATCATTTTGGATTAATACTAAATGATTTCACTAAATGAAAAAACTGAAGCCTATCAGTTCTACACAATTTTTGGGGTAAAATTTTGGGGGGGCTGTTCTGACCTGAGGGATAGAAAGCTCCATGTTTTGGAGAACTGAATTAATGACACCGTGGCAGTCCAGTCACTAATAACAGTGTCACTCAGCAGAAGCCTTCCCTACACTTTCCAGAGAGAAGGCTGAGGAGACTGCAGACACGAGAGCTCACAGCTCCATCGCTTTCCACTCCAAAGGCGCAACCGGCCACATCCAGACTCACGCACGACCTACTAGGACCCAGATGTAATTGCATTGTGCTCAGGTGGCACACAGCGCAAACTCTGGAAGTGTGGTCCATCTGCCCCAAGGGGCCTCCCAAAGGAAAGCAGGATAATAAAATCAGGCATTCAGTAACAGTTACCTTCAAAATACGATTCTAAACACTCAGAAAGGTTAAGCTGACCCAACCCTAATTGTGAAGACAGCTAATGTTCACTGAGCATTTGCCGTGGGACACGGGTGGCTCACACAGTGGACACTCGTATTAGCTTCTTTTTGGAGGGAGAAACCACGGCCCAAAAAGTTGAAGAAACCAGGGTTTCAACCAGTTGGGGCAGGGTGAAGGATTAGTGTGGCGGTCCACTCAGCAGGAGGTCTTCAGGAAAATATCTTCATTTTAGAAACAGGGAAAAATTCAACTGAAGTAGTTACCTTGAAAAGGTAAAAGGTGCAGCCTACTAAAGCACATATTCAAAAATTTTAATACTTTATTCAATAAACAGGCAAATAAAACCTTTAGAAGAGATGTAAAAAATGGCTAATTGTTGAACGTAGTGGATTGTCAGTATTGTATTAGCAATTAATCATAGCTTTTTAACATCCATGAGGTTCTGGCAAAAAATATGTCACATGCATAGAACTAACATAATGGGAGGGGCTGTCACAGAGCAGTGTCCCGTTGAGGACAAACGTGTGCTTTGGAGACGTGGCAAAAAAGCACAGCATCACAGGTGCAGAGAACAACACAGGATGGACACCAAGGGTGAGGGGAGTGAAAACGTAGGAGGCAGGAGTCTGCTACGCTCCCGGAAGGATGTGAGAGGAAGAGCGGGGAGACATCTGTGGATCTGCTGATTCCCTACACAGAGAATACTCACTAACACAGGGAGTGAAGATTCATTCAATACAGGTACCTAGGAAAATAAAAAGAAAAATGCAAGTGTGTATGTTGTTTTTGGGCTGAAATAACAAGAAGAGCTAACCAGCGGACAGGTGACAGCACCTGTGTGCGGAGACCTTTCAACAAACGTGGCAGGGTGGTTTCCAAGGAGGCCACAGGGTGCAGTGCTGACCAGGATCAACGAGAATAAAAGAAATGAAAAAGAATAAAAGCATGAGGTGATGCAGCCACTGGCCACTGAGCAGGAGAGAGCTGCAGGCCTACAGAGGCGTCTCCTCCGTCAACAGCCCTCTGCGTGGAGATGCCGCAGTTACAAAAGCTTCTGCACGTCCGGATAACTGCTCCTGGGCCCCTCTCCTAACCATACGAGAAGGGTGAGACAGGAAGAAGAGACACCAGCTGCACAAAACCAGCAAGAGGGAAATCAAGCCGGCTCATTTTCTTGGGCCCTAGAGCTCAAAACTTGAAAACTGTACCACGAGTTTCCGGGTGAAATGTCACGAGGGACAGTGGCCAACAAGCTCTACAAATTCCCCTCTTCCGGGTGTAACAACGGCCCCCCGGACAAACAGAAGCGCGTCGTGTCGCGCTTACCCCACACAGTCATCCGCATGGCCAGTGTCGTAGAAATGCCGTGCGCCGAGCTTCTGAAGTTGTTTATCAATCACCTTCCCCCCGTTACAGAAGTACGTGTATTCCGAATCCCCCAAACCTGGAGTCCAAACAGACGATTGGTGCACATTAGGGTTTAAATGTAAAAGATGTAAGGACCACATAAAGCATCTAAAACAATGCTGCTTCACAAGCTACTGGTGCAGGAAGAAATAATGTGTCGCTTCACATTTTCTTATTTTCCTTCAGTAATACTAAGTATGCAAACAATTTTCTATTTTAGAACCTTACAGTACCAGATATACTGAAGGAAAACAGTCCACCGTTTAAGGAAATATATACATTCCACATTTGCATGTCCATGAATCTGGTAAAACTATAGAAATCTTAAAACAAGGATTAGATTTAAGAACTACAACATCAACCAAGAGTGGTGGCACATACCTCTAAGTCCTGCACTCTGGGAGCCTGAGCCCAGAGTTTCAAGTTCGAGCCCAGGCTAGGAGGGCAATTTAGCGACTTAGCGAGACCCTGTCTCAAAATGAAAAAAATGATGAAAAACTAGAAGGGCTGGGGATGTTACTCAGTTTTAAAGTCTCAGGCTCAATGTCCAGCACCTCCAAAACACAAAACAAAACCCACATCTCTATCTACATACTTTTCTATCTTTATGAGGAGTCTGCCAACCATAGCCTCTGAACCACATACTGTCCACTACTGTTTTGTTTTGTTTTGTTTTTTGAGACAGGGTCTCACTATGTAGTTGAGACTGACCTGGAACTCATTATGAAGTCCCGGCTGGTCTCGAACTCACAGCGATCCTCCTGTCTCAGCCTCCCAAGTGCTGGGATTACAGGCGTGTGCCACCATGCCCAGCTGTCCACTACTGGTTTTGTAAATAGTTTTATTGGAACACAAGGACTTCTGTTAATTTACAGGTTTGTTACATGGCTTTGAAGCTCCAACAGCATTCAGGCAGTTGTGAAGGAGACTACATAGCCCACAAAGACTAAAGTCCCCAGGATCTGGACCTCTGAAATAAGTATGTGCTGTAATTGTTTCTGTGTTGAATTAATTAAGTTTGCTTCCACGTGTCATGGTAAGAACACAGACTAATGTTTCATACTTGGGTGAAACCTTATCACTGAAAGTTTTAGATCCTCAGCTGGGTAATGATGCCCATGTTCTCTTCCAACAATGGGGTGAGAAACTGCAGGATCCAAAAGCGGGTCCCATAGTAACCAGTGACTGAATGCTCTGCAGCCTTGTTTTTATAAGTGTTCTGAGGGATTTTCAAAGGAATATATGCTTATTCCTGAAAACACAGAAACCAGAAAAACTGCGGTTCATAGAACTTGTGAATACTGTACCCATACACTCACAGACAAGCTACACATGCAGATCCCAGCTGGTTATAAACCGAAGCTTCTAATCAGTCACCACAGAAAAACCCCTCTGAGCTACATGCTGTGCCCCAGAAATGATCCCCGAGGTTGAACGATACGAAGACAAGCTATGGACATCGGCCGTCGACTCCCACAGTGTCACCGTTTGCCGTGCCAGTAATTCTGATCCAGTTTTAATCTGTTTAAACTACACTCCAGAGCCCGGCCGTGTGCTTAAGCTGGGATGCACAGTGTTACAACCAAGGAGCTTTCAGAAATTCTGATATCGTGGCCCCGCCTCAGAATGTCAGAGTCCCTGGCGGTGGCCAAGAACAGGAATCATCAAGAACTCCCGCACCTGATGCTGACATGCAGCTGGGCGTGGTTCTCGGACAGAGACGCTCTCAGAATGGCCTGGGTGTTTTGCGGCCTGTCGTTACTGATGCTTTAAAAATTGAAACCGCATGAAACACTTCCCTCGTGGATTCTGTTTTAACAGTTTTTAGAGTCTGAATGCTTCAGGGTTGAAGTGCTGCACACCTTCGGTTATGAAAGCTACCGAGGTTCTGCAGAGGAATTAGTGCGCAGACCAAGGAAGCATTCATATCCACACAAGACCACACCCTGTTACATTTATTTTTTGGGTTTACACACAGAATTTATGTAAAAACAAAAGACCCATACCTTTATATTTCATGGTTTGAAAAGATATATTCAGATCCTAGAGCTAAAGCCAGTAAAAATATACAGTAAGACACAAAATACAGTCCATTACCTAACAGGCCATACCGCAGGTGAGCAAAGAAATCAGAGGGCAGCGTCTTGTCACGAATTTCTTTGACAAACTTGCGGGCAGTGTCAGGAGGGTCGCCGGTGCCTGTGGTAGAAACAACCACCACCAAGGGAGCTGTTTCCGTTTTGAGATCATACTACAAAACAAAGAAATCAAGTCAGGGACCTAATGCTATGTGCACTCATGCTTGAGCATATCAGCGAGGCAAAGCCATCAGCTTGTTTTCCTCATCTTGTATTTCCTTCCAACTTTCCTCTCCCGGTTACTAGAGATGGGTGGTGGAACGATCGGCCCAGGCCCAGGCGCCCCTGTTCAGTCAGGCTGTCCACAGTCAGTCGCAGCTCAGCGCAAGCATGAATTTGTTTTGCTGACGTGAATCAAGGGGTTAGGACAGTGGAACATGTCCTGTGTCTTCCTCTCCAGGCACTTCAGCAGAGCTGGGACCCATCACCCAGGGTCCCCGCTCACCCGACTCCTCAAGGCAGGACAATCAGAGGAGAGGGGACGGGCATAACAGACTGTGCCACTCTCTCTGCCCCGGGCCAGACGTTCAGTGTGAGCGCTGATCTGCAAGGCGAACAGACGCAAAGGAGCAAGGATGACACCTGAGGAACCACAATGAGCTCCCAGGGGAAAAGGCAGCTAACAGGGCGGGGATGTCACTCATAAGAAACTTAAAAAGAGGGCCGGGGATTTAGCTCCGTGGTGCTGCCACCTGCCTTGCAAGCGCAAGGACACTACTTTGATCCCCAATACCAAAAAAAAAGCAAAAAAGAGAAAGTTAAAAAGGCAAGCACAAAGATCTTAAAAGCGGGGAAGGGTGAAAATCAGAAATAAAGAAAGCAGACACATAAGCATCCAGGGTTAAAATGGCAGGGCAACAAAGGGGCAGCGAATAGAATATTCTCCTTTAATTCATTTCTATTTCAAGATAGTTGAAAACAGAGCAGCTGTGAAATCTTCAGCGAAAGTCAGCTGCATACGTATTTATAACGCAAAGGCAGAGGCACATGGGAGTTTAAAGGTGGGAGACTGGGCGTGAGTCCTCAGCCTCCGGGGCCTGAGTATGGACCGCAGCCCTCGTTCCTTCAGGGCTCCAGGCAGCTGAGGGCGTGATCAGCGCAGTGGGACTCTCAGTGCTGCCAAGTCCTATAAATCAAGTCTTTCTTCCAATTCTTTTGTAAATTTACTCAAAGCACAGCATTTCACCATTTCTTACAGCTCCATTAACTGCACTGCTCCTGAAAGTGACCTAATTTGGATCCAAAGAATTCCCCTTCTTTTACTTTACCTCCTGCGTTGCTGAGGACTGGACCCAGGTCCTTGCACATGCTAAGCGTGTGCTCTTTCACTGTGCTAACACCCCCTGCCCGCACGTGCATACTTGCACAACGTAAGAACATGAGCTTACACTGTACACGTTCTTACACACTAGGGTGCTACACGAGTTACAGGTTAGCCTCTGTACAGAGCTGGGAAAGTACCCTTGGCAAGGACTGCTGCAAATTAGGAAGCAGTTTTCAACGTAGGTGATGAGCAGCTGGAGAAACCATTCACCTAAAAGCACAGCTAAGGTGATGTTGAAAAATAAAAATTCACTATTCAGCTTCTGTCAGGCTCGTGACTCATCAGAGTCACTCTTACGATCTACTCGCTCACAGTAACGGGTTCAGGCTGGAGCCCCTCAAGCAGCACCGTAACGTAAGTTTGCTTGAAGTCACAGTGCAGGGACAGAGCCTGCCGGCGTGTGGACGGATGGTGTCCTTGGGAAGTCTGCTTGTGTGACTGTCTGCAGTTACACTCCCAGCGCTTCATGAAGGAACCAGATGAGCTGGGGTTATAATTCACCGGTGCTGCTGCTGACTGTCTTGCCTCTGGAACCTGAGATTTGTGAAGGTCACAGAGGGTTGAAAACTTAAGGGAAGGGACACTAGCAAGCTAACTTTTGATGTCCCAAAGTGAGTTTAGACTGCTCGGTATCTGGTACATCATCAGCTGGTATAAAGCCCCTACTAACTGTTAGCGCCTGACTTGTCTGGAAAATACAATCTACAAGTCTCAACTAACTCAAAGAACACAGAGCGGAGTAGTATGGTGATGCACACCTGTAAGTCCAGCACTCTGGAAGGCTGATGTAGAAGGACTGCAAGTTTGCCCCAAGAAACTTAGAGAAACCCTGTCTCAAAACAAAAAATAGTGAACGGGCCTGTAGCTCAGCATGAAAGCCCTGGGTTTAACCTCAAAAATCTAAAAAAAAAGAAAAAGAAAACAGAAAACACAAACTGTTAAGGACTTATATAACCCAACGTAGGATGTCTGCAGAGAAATACTGAATGTGCAGACAAGCAGATCGAGACCTTAAGCAGCTGAATCCTCCCCACTGCTTTAGATTCTATCTCACTACCTCAAAGAACTAGGATTAGAGATTCCATTTGACCCAGCCATCCCTCTGCTGGGCATCTTTCCAAAAGAATTAAACGCATCATACCACAGTGATATGTGCTCACCCATGTTTAGAGCATCACAGTTTGTAATAGCTAGAACTTGGAAACAGCCCAATTGCCCATCAGTTGAAGACTGGATAAAGAAGATGTGGCTTTTGTATAAAATGGAGTATTACTCAGCCATAAAGAATGAGAAACTAGAGTCATTCATAGGAAAATAAATGCATATTGAAGTCATACTTTTAAGTGAAATAAATAAGTCACACATGTGTAAATACCAAAGAGTTTCTCTCGTGTGACAAATCAAAAGTGTAAATAAGATCCAAATGGTCTACTTGACAATGTGAAATAGGAAGAAAAGGGCTAAAGGTGTAGGGAAAGTGGGAACAAGGGAAAAGAAAAATATGAGAAAACGAAAAAATGGAAAAAAAAGTTTTTGTTAATAGGGAAGCGAGGAGAGAGTGAAGGGAGGGCAGGGACGAGGGGAAAAATGAGAACCAAGACCTGTCATGTAGAGGTGCAGGATCCCAATGATGAATGGAACTGTACTGTGTGCCTAAAATGTACCAATAACCTCAATGAGGAAAAAAAAGTCTATCTCACAACAGAATCCAGGCGGCCCTTCCTCAGAGGACCTCTCACTTGAATGTCTGGTCTTAGGGGAGCTGACTGGGGACACTGAGGTCCCTGAGGTAGAAAGCACATGTGCGTGAGCAAATACCCATCTCACCTGTCCTCATGGCCACCTTAAGGGCTGCACGAGGCCTACACCAACGCCACGGTTTACAGCTAAGGAGTAGTCACTTGTTTCAGTTTCTGAGACTGCATAGCCTGATTCAAATGTGTATCTCTATGCTTAAGAAAAGCTGGTGAAATTCTTCAGTACAGGTGCTAAAGTGAATTTCTGACTGTTAAAAAAAGATTATAGTGGTATTCATCACTTTATCATGTCGTTTAACAAATGTGACTTCCCAATCAAAATGCTTCGATGAATAAAGCACAGTGAAAATTGGCAGGAGCTCTTACCTTATCAGACTCGCTAATACAGTGAAGATCTGCAGAAAACCCACGCACTACCGCCTGCTCACGAATTTCTTCTGCTATGGCCTTTGCCTGTCCTCGCTGTGTAGCATATAGTAACAAAAACCTCATCACCTCAAGGAACGTGCTGCCACCACAGAGGTGACACTGAAAGGAATGGGAAAAGAGATTTTCTTTTTAATGAAGTAATAACAGCCTACAGTATTAGCTCTACCGCAAGCTTTAAAAAAGAATGCAATAATACCCACACATACTCTGAAGTAGTCTTCTCCTTCTCTAAATTTGTTGCTTAGCACTAACTTTAAATGAAATAAGGAAGACTTCCTCAAATTCCAGAGAATACAAGTGAGAATCAAATTCTAATTTGATGACTGGCAAATGAGAGTATGAGATCAAACTACTTTGGGGACTTGAAACTGTCATCCGGAATGTTGTACCTGCAAGCAAGATGCTCAGCTGTTCTGTACCTTGATTGCTTTGATACCTTAAAATTAGGATCCTAACACCTACCTGATAAAAATATGATACATTGTGCAGTTCCTGGGCAAAGCTTATGACCCAGTATCGCTTCAAAGACTAAGACTTCTTTCCATCTCAATTCAGACATCTTTTGTTTCCTCTTTTTTAAATAGAGGTAGGCTGGGCATGGTGGCAGCACACGCCTGTAATCCCAGCTCTAGGCAGAGGCAGAAGGGCTGCCTCGAGGTGGGGGCCAGCCTGGACCACAGAGACCCTGCCTCAAAACAAAAAACAAGACAAAAGAAGTAGAACTCCCATTAAAATTACAGATTTCTGGTTCGTATTCCACCATAATTCTTAAAAACTAATCACCGTACTACATCTCATCAAAGTGCATATTCGTCTGGATTTACTCATATCCAAACCTTAGATTTTGGTGAATGAAACAGTGGAGTTTTATGTATCTCTGACCCACCTAAGGCCAAATGAGCCACAAATAAGGAGATACAGCGTCTATCGTGAAGTCCGTGGGGAAAAGAACCCCAGCCCTCCCGGGCTAGCTGAGTCAGCGGGTCGGGCGGACGTGAGGACGCAAGACGCCGCGAGGCCAGGACAACGGTGTCATTCCCGGCTCAGCCGCTCCGGAGCTCCCTCCCACCCCGGGACCCTGTCCACCGCGAGCCCAGACCGCTCCCCTGGCCCGGTTGACCCCGGCTACTGAGGTACCCAGCACTCACCAGGCGCCCGGAGCTTGAACGAGGCGCGCATGCTCGGCACCTATGGCCAATAGGATGCTCCGAACAGACCCAGGCCAATCGCGGAGCGCAGAATGTGGGCGGTACGTGCGCGTCCCCGGTCCCGCGCATGCTCGGTCTCCGCGCGAGTACGGTGGCTCGCGAGGCTTTCCCGCCCGGTGGTGTTCTGAGCGCGGCTCCGGCGAGGCTGGGTGAGTGTCCTCGCGGGCTTT